TAGTACTAGGGTTTCAAATGTGTATTACAGAAAGAAATCATTGAAAAAAAAAAAAACCAGTACCGTAGACAGTAACAATGAGAGGAACTAGCCAAGGTGAGGAATGGCTACCGAAATTGTTTTGGTGGTCAGATCGAGACTATCATGATAGTCGACTTTATTACCTGAGACTATCATGATAGTCGACTTTATTACCTGAGAGTTACTGATTTTTGGTGTGTATTGTGGATAGGTTTATTTGGATAAATATCTTGAATTAGAGAAAAGTACAGATAAGAGAAATGGATTCTGGAATATGTTAAGTGAATGTGTTGCGAATGTTGAGTGATGTAAGATACATGAATGTTAGCGTGGGAGACACTGTTGTGTAAGACGCAGTGGAAAAGTTTTAAGTGTTTGATGTATATAGCAGAGTAGAACCTTTAGCTTACCTCAAGGATACAGCCAGAATATCAACATACAAGAACGGTAAAGACATACACAAAATCGGTACAGCACAATGCAATAACAATACACTGGAAAAGAACATTTGAGTACAGTTCATGATAAAAGTGACTTTCAGCACAGTTTGTCACCATCACCAGACCATTCACAACCAAGAACACTACACTGACAGTGCTCCTCTTTCTTAGTATTTGATTGACACTACTACTACTACTGCTACTACTACTACTACTATTACCACCACCTCCACCTCTACCTTTATTGCTCCCGTCATTGTCTGCTGGCCTATATATACTACTCTCTCCTTCTCTCTCTTCTGTTAGTGTGACTTTGTAAATGGTCCAAGTTAGACCGAAACGTCGTGGTAAGCTCTTCTCTTCTATGTGCAGGTTTTTTGTGTATTACAGTAAGTACACTAACACAAAAGGCAAGTACAGTAACATGTAAGAATAACACAGTAACATAAAACAGTACAATAACGTATTAAACAGTATAGAGAAACATGAAATAGTGTAGTAACACATAAAACAGTATAATAACGCAAAAACAATAACGTAAAATATAAAACAGTATAATATCACATAAAACTGTATGATGACAAATGAAACTATAAAGTGACATAAAACGGTAAATTGAGAGATAAAACAGGATAGAGACACAAAACATTATTACGATGTTCCATAGGATTTCTACAGTATTTATGACACGAGTCTAAGGTATCTTCAGTATGTAATATACACATGGGAAATCGTAATAAGAAATTATATATACTGATATAATTCAATCGATTGTGCCGATCAATTTTAGTATTACGGAGAGAGAAAAAAATTCATAAAATATCTCTTTTAATATAACGTATATTATTTTATGGTCTAAAGGTATTTTAATGGTACCTTTTACTTATCAATAAGATATAAACATTTTAACAGACTTATAATCATATATTGTTACAGTGGCCTTCATCTTGGCTGAATGGGTAGATTGGAAAAAGTCACAAGTAGTCGCACTTGCGGGACACTAATGAATAATGCTATTCTCAGGTAGTCTCTTAAAGTAAATGAACAGGAAAAGAAGACCTCGAGACTGAGAGAGGTGTTGTACTGCCTGCTCTACTCCACTCACCTCTGACGTAAACTCACGTCAGGCGAGTAGTAACACTCACCTCTGACGTAAACTCACGTCAGGCGAGTAGTAACACTCACCTCTGACGTAAACTCACGTCAGGCGAGTAGTAACCAGAGGTGAGGTCATAAATGGTTGTTATCACTGGTAAATGATGCATCAGCACAAAATACATATATATATACATAAAATGAAAAATGAGAAAGATGAAAATGAATATGTAATATTACAAAGCTGATTTTCGTCGTTGTAGTTAATAACGATGATAATCGCAATGTAATATTAGATAGATGAACAAAATTGTAAGACATATTTAGAGAAACCGCAAGTCAGCGTAACAATTATAGTAACATATAAAACAGTCATTGAGATATAAAACAGCATAATAACACATAAAACAGTCATTGAGATATAAAACAGCACGATAAAACATAAAACACATATGTAAAATAAAACATTACGACAGCACAGAATTACAGTATAAATAATTAAAAGTAACAATGGTGCAACATACAAGACCAGTACAGTACAATAACACAGAAGACCAGAACAGTACAATAACACAGAAGACCAGAACAGTACAATAACACAGAAGACCAGAACAGTACAATAACACAGAAGACCAGAACAGTACAATAACACAGAAGACCAGTACAGTACAATAACACAGAAGACCAGTACAGTGCAATACCACAGAAGACCAGTACAGTACAATAACACAGAAGACCAGAACAGTACAATAACACAGAAGACCAGAACAGTACAATAACACAGAAGACCAGTACAGTACAATAACACAGAAGACCAGAACAGTACAATAGCACAGAAGACCAGTACAGTACAATAACACAGAAGACCAGTACAGTACAATAACACAGAAGACCAGTACAGTACAATAACACAGAAGACCAGTACAGTACAATAACACAGAAGACCAGTACAGTACAATAACACAGAAGACCATTACAGTACAATAACACAGAAGACCATTACAGTTACACAGAAGACCAGTACAGTAACACAGAAGACCATTACAGTTACACAGAAGACCAGTACAGTAACACAGAAGACCAGTACAGTACAATAACACAGGAGACCAGTACAGTATAATAACACAGAAGACCAGTACAGTATAATAACACAGAAGACCAGTACAGTACAATATCACAGGGGACCAGTACAGTACAATACCACAGAAGGCCAGTACAGTACAATAGCCCAGAAGACCAGTACAGTACAATAACACAGAAGACCAGTACAGTACAATAACACAGAAGACCAGTACAGTACAATATCACAGGGGACCAGTACAGTACAATAACACAGAAGACCAGTACAGTACAATAACACAGAAGACCAGTGCATACAATAACACAGAAGACCAGTACAATAACACAGAAGACCATTACAGTACAATAACACAGAAGACCAATACAGTACAATAACACAGATGACCAGTACTACACAGTAACACAGAAGACCAGAACAGAAACACAGCTTAACAATATAGAAACACACAAGACCAGTACAGTAACACAAAAGAACAGTACAGTACAGTAGCGCAGAAGAACAGTAACACAAAAAGACAGTACATTAACACAGATTACTGGAGCGACTGAAATTCATCAAGTTGTCTTAATCTTAATTCTGGTGAGTCCATTAATGAACAATATGAACAACACTGCTGGTGAATGACCATAAATAACAACACTGCCATGACTCCAGGGAGGCTGGATTGGGAATCACACCACCGTGAGTACTGCCAGGGAGGCTGGAGTGGGAATAGTACCACCATGACTACTTTTAGGGAGGCTGGAGTGGGAATAACACCACCGTGACTACTGTCACAGAGGCTGAAGTGAGAATAACACCACCGTGACTACTGTAAGGGAGGTGGAATGGGAATAACACCACCGTGACTACTGTTACGGAGGCTGGAGTAAGAATAACACCACCGTGACTACTGTCAGAGAGGCTGAAGTGCGAATAACACAATATTCGAAACAATAATTAATAAATAAAAGAAAAATTATTATTTGCGACCACTGTCAGCCTCAGAGTTGTCTCTGAGTTACCAGACCTTGCCACGTGGAGGCCAGTGGTTCGTCTTTAAGGTCCCCCCCCCTCGCCTTCCCCAGGTTCATGTGTCCAGGAATCCATCCGTGGGCCCCCGGATGTCTCCCCTTCCTCACTACCCTAAGGTCAGCATCGCCTGTCTCTCTCCCTTTGCCTTCCAGCCTCAGCCTTCCCCAGGTTCATGTGTCCATGAATCCAACCGTCCGCCTCCGGATGTTTTCCCTTCCACACTTCCCCAAGGTCAGCCTTACCAACCTGTATTCTTGCCATCCCCAGGTTCATGTATCCAGGAATCCATCCGTCTACCGCCAGATGTCTTCCCATAACCACTTACCCAAGGTCAGCCTCAACTGCTGGTATTCATGCCTTTCCCAGGTTTATGTATCCAGGAATCCATCCGTTCGCTCCCAGATGTCTCCCCTTCCCCACTTACCTAAGGTCAGCCTCAACTACAACCTTCCCCAAGCTCACGTATCCAGGAATCCATCCGTTCGCTCCCGGATGTTTCCCCTTCCCCACTTACCTAAGGTCGGCGGTGCCTTCCCCGGATCAGTGTCTCCAGGAATCCACTTGTGTCACTGAGTGGACTCCCTTCCCCACTTCCCCAGAGTCAGCGGTTGCCACCCTCAGTGACCTTGCTGATTGGAAACTTGGTCTTGTCTAGCTGGTCTACGGTAGAGACTGTCCAGGTGGGTGGAATTACTGGAGGGGACACACAGAAAACTGCGTCCAGTAATTACACTCACCAAGACAGCCTGGACCGTAGGTCAGCTGGACGAGACGAAGCTCGTACACAGCTCGGCCACCCAGGAGAGGCTAATTAATAACAATTTTGGAAATCCTTTTATATTACATTATGAATTTATACCAAGTACAAGTTTATTTTTTACTTATTTTGCAGTTTCAAAGTATTTGTGAGAGTTTTATTTAATATAAATTAACTGCCAAGTGTTGAAGACCTTGTCTACCTCCATCAAAACTGTTCAGCATTACACTCTTTTCATTTTTATTTATTTATTCGTCTTTTGCATTTTACACTCAAAGGCTAACAAGCCGACAAATATACACGTATATAAGTATTTTCAGGTACATTTATACGTTTCAACACACGCACCTTACGCATACACCATTATCCACACATTTGTATGCATAACACACGCACACACACAATGCCAGGTATTGCAAATACGCACACATGTAAACAACAGTGTACACAATAATCTCTTCTCACTTTAACATACTAATCATGCAGGAGAAAAGTGAATATTTAGCTATCATAATCTCCGGTCTTAATAAATTAGACAATTAGTTCTCAAAACAAGACATAGAGGAATGGAAAAGTCTTCGTCAAGACTGACTTTCTTTACACATAGAAGACCTGGCGTCATTTTCCAGGTTTCCAGGTAGAATATTGGAACGCAGGAGACCTGTGAAATACAGACAGGCGAGTCCTGCTTTCTTTCAGTCTCTGAAAAATCAAGAAAAATATAGAAAAGTAGAAACAAAGTAATTCTCTTACTTTTTTGGTAGTTTATATTTTTTTACCTTTCCTTAAAACTTATAATAATATAATCTTTAGCATATGTTAAGAACAGATTCTTTATAAGTGATCTTCTATGATTTTGTACAATGTTTGATGATAAAGTTAACTCTGATACTAGATGTGAAGAACTGATGTTTCAATGAATAAATAAATAAAAAATATATGTATATAATTTTCTAAATATCATCATTAAAAAAAAAAATACTGTAATATACTGTACAGTCCATCACACTCTCGGCTATAAAAATGTTTCAGTAAACGAAGAAAGTTCTGAGGTGGACGTTGAGAGTTGTGAACCCCAAACACAACATTTCCTCAAGAGAGGAATTCAACTTTTCAAGAACAGCCAATCCACGGAGCACTGTCTGTATATGATATTATAACACAAGTCTTTAATATCAGTATATACAAAAATATATAATTATAGGGGAGGACACACAAAAATTTGTGCCCTATAATCACAACATCCTGGACTCACTGGAAACATAGAGCAGCCAGACAAGAAGTACTCGTCTAGCCAGACTACCATGGAGACGACACTCATTGTAAATTTGATTCTACTATTAATGTTTCATATTTAATTATTTCTTGCTGTGGGATTTTCTGCATAATACTAAGCATATATATGTATGTTATGTATACCTTCTTTTACTCTTTGTAGCAGTGTGTTTGTGTGTATGTCTGGTGTTACTGTTATGGTTTATATCTTTCTGGTGTTACACAACGTTAACAATACACTAGCAACACTGCCTCCCTCTACACCCTGTCATATGCCTTTTTATATCTATAAATACAAGAGACTGATACTTTTCTTTATACAAGTCAAGCAGAGATAATACACAAATAGACTTTATAAACTACAGCTCTCTCTACTGTGTTTAGATTAATTGTGAATTACTCCAGCAAAGGTATTACGACTTTTGTTGACCACTTTGTTTAACGTAAACACTATATCCACGTATCACATTCCTTTCCAGTTTTACTTTTTCTCCTTAGTTAATCGTACTTTGGGCATAAGAATTATGAAAGTCTTTGCAAAGCAAGGACACAGAGGCATGAAGGAAACTTGACATGGACAATCTCTCACTTGGAGACCAAACCGCCTGAGCAATATGTAGGCGGAGTGTGAAGGCTTACTCAGCCCTGTAACAACTTCAGACAGTATTACCAAGGCTGGCTCCTCCTCAGGAAAATTAATGAATAGAAAAAGAAATAATAATTCACAAAGATAAACACTTTATTATTTAGTAATGCGAAGATAAAACATTAAAAAATGAAGGTGTATCCTACTTGAAAGAAAAATGAAAAATGATATGGAAAAATGACATTTGAATTCAACGCTAATATGTATAAGTAAACTGGGGTGTCTGGTGGAGGTTGACACCGTCTTGTAGAAATTGTAGCCGTTGATGATGATGGGGGGGGGTCACAGGTGTTGGTGACAATCCAACGACTAGTTCTTCACAGAGTCTATAGCCTTGAATAGTCAGTCCAGATGACAGGAACGCAGGTTCTTTACCACTACAAAGATGAGGGGTAGTGTCCTGTATAATTAATCAGGTAGGTAGATTATAAGGTGACGTCCCAAGACCGTTTTCAGTCTGTCTCCTTCAACACTTCTCGTTGGTTGGCAGGTTACCCGATCTGTCATTCCAAGCTGGAAAGAGAGACAGGTTACCTACTGCTTAAGAAATCACTCTCCATGATAAGTGCAAGATACTTAAAAAAGGTGGTGATTATCGAAAAGTCTCATGTGGAGCTTAAAACTGAAAGGACAAAGTTTATTATTGGTCAAAAGTGAGGCTTTCAACCAATATCCACTAGAATAGGCTTTTGCTTACAGTTGTGCTGGGAGCTTGAGTCGAGTGATTACTGTTAGGCCGGAGCCCCACGCGTCTCCTTTCGGGGTGGGGAGAAAGGGGGGGAGGGGACAGTGGGAGCTAGACTGATCCTACTTTAACAAGCAGCCGGCAATCAAACTATCGTTACCATATACTCGCTCGCTACTCCTATCTGTTGAACTTTTCCCTCAAAAGCAGAGAGGATGTGGTGTTCATTCTTGCAGTTCAGGCATTTAGGTTGACTGGTGGTGATGGAAGCCTTGAAATCATGTCTTTCGTTGCCGCACGTCTAACAGAATTTGTTATCCTTGGTAAGACAATCCTTCGTGATATTCATACAAGAGTAGCAACTGTAACACTGTGTTGTGCTGTAATCTCTCGGCTTCAATGTACCATGGGTTGGGATTGCCAGTCCCTCTGCGAGAGCTTGTATTGCCATGTTGACATTAGGGAAAGTGACCTTGATCATTGAAAGAGCGTTGAGTATTTTGGTAATATGTTCCACCGTGGCTAAGGGTTCTGATCTTCTATTGATGATTTAATTTCTTTAGTAGCCTTGGATGTGATGAGCTTATCCAGTCGTCTAAGGAACACAATTCTCTTGGCCCTCAAAACTGGGGAAGCCACGACTTGAAATCCTCGTTGGTTAGGAGTGGTTGTAGCGTCAGTGGTAATACGTTTCTCAGCTTCCATGTCGTCAGAGCAAACTACAACAAAAGCCTCTTGGAGCGATAGAATCGCATTACATTTAACCTTCAATATGCCGATAACGGCAGCTGCAAGTGCTTGCTTGGACGAGTCATTAACTGTTCCACTTCTCGGTTTGATCTTCACACTGTCTGAGAAATACATCGTGGAAGATGACGTCGAATGCTGAAATAAAAGTTCCCTTCCCCAAAGGTGATCGCAGGGATACCCAGGTCCTGGTCATGTGCGTGATGCATGATTTCTATAGGGCTATTAGCTCCATGATTTATATTGGACTATAAGCTCCAAGATTTGAATAGGACTATAAGCTCCATGATTTCTATAGGACTATAAGCTCCATGACTTCTATAGGACTATAAGCTCCAAGATTTGTATAGGACTATAAGCTCCATGATTTCTATAGGACTTTAAGCTCCATGTTTTCTACAGTACTATAACCTCCATGATTTCTATAGGACTATAAGACCCATGTTTTCTACAGGACTATAAGCTCCATGATTTCTATAGGACTACAACCTCCATAATTTCTATAGGACTATAAGCTCCATGATTTCTATAGGTCTATAACCTCCATGATTTCTATAGGACTATAAGCTCCATGATTTCTATTGGACTATAAGCTCCATGATTTGTATAGGACTATAAGCTCCATGATTTCAATAGGACTATAACCTCCATGATTTCTATAGGACTATAACCTCCATGATTTCTATAGGACTATAACCTCCATGATTTCTATAGGACTATAAGCTCCATGATTTCTATTGGACTATAAGCTCCATGATTTCTATAGGACTATAAGCTCCATGATTTCTATAGGACTATAAGTTCCATGATTTCTATATTACTAAAGTATCTCAAAAACTCTTCCTTCGCTCGTTGAGCTGTAACTTTAACCCTTAAATGGTCCAAACGTATATATACGTTTTTTCAACATCTGAAAGTATGTAAAAAAATGTAGATCTTTTTTGTTTTACATTTGAAAACGTGTAAAAAAAAACTTTTATCTACATTTTTTTTGTTACATTTCAAAATATGTTAAAAAAAAGTAGATCTACTTTTGTAGCACTACGAATCTGAACGTCGATCTGTTTGGACCGTTTAAGGGTTAATATTACTACACTCTGTCTAAATTCTTTATTCTTGGATCTCTGTATATTGTTTATACCACACGTTTATATCAGACTTCATATTTCCACTGTTTTAATGAAACATTCAAAGATAATGAAACATTCAAAGATAATGAAACATTCAAAGATAATGAAACATTCAAAGATAATGAAACATTCAAAGATAATGAAACATTCAAAGATAATGAAACATTCAAAGATAATGAAACATTCAAAGATAGTGAAACATTCAAAGATAATGAAACATTCAAAGATAATGAAACATTCAAAGATAATGAAACATTCAAAGATAATGAAACATTCAAAGATAATGAAACATTCAAAGATAATGAAACATTCAAAGATAATGAAACATTCAAAGATAATGAAACATTCAAAGATAATGAAACATTCAAAGATAATGAAACATTCAAAGATAATGAAACATTCAAAGATAATGAAACATTCAAAGATAATGAAACATTCAAAGATAATGAAACATTCAAAGATAATGAAACATTCAAAGATAATGAAACATTCAAAGATAATGAAACATTCAAAGATAATGAAACATTCAACGATAATGAAACATTCAAAGATAATGAAACATTCAAAGATAACGAAACATTCAAAGATAATGAAACATTCAAAGATAATGAAACATTCAAAGATAATGAAACATTCAAAGATAATGAAACATTCAAAGATAATGAAACATTCAAAGATAATGAAACATTCAAAGATAATGAAACATTCAAAGATAATGAAACATTCAAAGATAATGAAACATTCAAAGATAATGAAACATTCAAAGATAATGAAACATTCAAAGATAATGAAACATTCAAAGATAATGAAACATTCAAAGATAATGAAACATTCAAAGATAATGAAACATTCAAAGATAATGAAACATTCAAAGATAATGAAACATTCAAAGATAATGAAACATTCAAAGATAATGAAACATTCAAAGATAATGAAACATTCAAAGATAATGAAACATTCAAAGATAATGAAATATTCAAAGATAATGAAACATTCAACGATAATGAAACATTCAAAGATAATGAAACATTCAAAGATAACGAAACATTCAAAGATTAATGAAAAACATTCAAAGATAATGAAACATTCAAAGATAATGAAACATTCAAAGATAATGAAACATTCAAAGATAATGAAACATTCAAAGATAATGAAACATTCAAAGATAATGAAACATTCAAAGATAATGAAACATTCAAAGATAATGAAACATTCAAAGATAATGAAACATTCAAAGATAATGAAACATTCAAAGATAATGAAACATTCAAAAGAATCAATGATAAAACATTCAAAGATAGAAACATTCAAGTATGAAACATTCAAAGATAATGAAACATTCAAAGATAATGAAACATTCAAAGATAATGAAACATTCAAAGATAATGAAACATTCAAAGATAATGAAACATTCAAAGATAATGAAACATTCAAAGATAATGAAACATTCAAAGATAATGAAACATTCAAAGATAATGAAACATTCAAAGATAATGAAACACTCAAAGATAATGAAACATTCAAAGATAATGAAACATTCAAAGATAATGAAACATTCAAAGATAATGCCTCACATCCGTTCAAAAGTGTTGTCATCTTTGCATCATATAAAAAAATTATCTCATTTTAAAGACTCGGTAACACACCTGAAAAATCCTTTTTTTAATTTTTTTCCTTATGTTTAATAGATCAGTTTTGCTCACTTATCACTCCCTAGTTTCTAAATATATTCACTTCCTCTTTGTTCCTTTCTTCCGATCTTATCTCCAGATTTTAGTTTCATTATCTTGCCTTTTTTCTGTGTTTACTGCATTCTTCTTTTATAAAACCTTCCTTATTCCATAATCTATTTCTATATTTTTACTTCTGAATCTTCCAGAAACAGTGTCATTTACAGAGTAAATGTGGTACTTCCCACTATTTTAATGCTCAGACATTTGCAAGTTTGGTATCTCTATTGTTGACTGAAATGTTTCGCCTACACAGTAGGTTTCTACAGTCAGATACATAGGTAACAAGAGTGGAGTGAAGTAAAGATTATGTAATCAATGCAACATTTGCCCAATGAAGAGCAGGGACGCCACGTGTACATTAAGAGACAACACAATAAGCATCAGGGGCCCAAGACTGTTCCACTGCCTCCCAGCATACGTAGGGATGATTACCAATGGACTCCTGACTGTCTTCAAGAAGGCGCTGATCAGGCACGTAAAGTCAGAACCTGATTAGCCGGGCTGTGGTTTTTACGTCGGTTTCCGTGCGTCCATTATTATTATTATAATCAAGGGGGAAGCGCTAAACCCGGAGGATTATATAGCGCCTGGGGGATGTGGAAGGCATTCAGGCTTAATTCAGGGAACTGGAGCACAGATCCAATTCCCTAAATCAAGAGCCTCTCACCAACATCAAGGAACCTTCCTTGAGGGGTCCGTGCGTCCAGCAGTAACAACCTGGTTGATTAGATCCTGATGCACCACGAGGCCTGGTTTCAGACAGAGCCGCGGGTGCGTTAACCCTTGAAATCCTTTCCAGGTGTACTCCAGTACTAAGAACGTAGAGAAAACTGTGGTGATAGGTGTAAGGGACGTTCCAGGAGTGGTTAGTGTAAATGAGGATTTAAGAGGAAGGTAAAATATCCAGTAGTCATCATATAAGTGCATTAGATTGGAATAGATAGAGACAAATAGGATTTGGGATTTGACATGCTGTTGGAGTGTGAGGAAAATAACATTTATTAAAGGATTAAGAAACCTTAAGCCGGACTTAAGATTCGGAGGATGGAAGTACAGTGTTTGTGCTTTATAGATAGGGTGCGGATGACGTGATTAAAAGTGGATTATTGCAGCATATCTGTCCTTTTCAGAAAAAACAACAATAAATAAATGGTATAAGAACTGACTGTCCTAAATAGTGCTTAAAATTCTGAATGTACTTAAGAAATAGCTAGCCAAAGAATTGTCATTTCTTTGTTAAACCGTTTCCTCAGAGATGAGCAAACACATCTCGCATCATGACACCTCGATGCTTTTGTTTCTTTCGATCTCCACTACCCAGAACAAAGAAACAGCATCCTTCACTTCTTACCTTGAATACAGTTTTCAGAGAAAGACGTCCAGGTACCAGCCACACACTGCGTCAGCAAGCCAGGTGAACCAGATGCCAGGTACCATCCATTGTTACACTCGTAGTACACTCCGTAGAAGCTGCTGCTTGTATTCCAGAAGAAGTTTTGAACTACCTGGGCGTTGACTGGTTGAGGTGGGTTGTTGGTTCACGTCTTGGTGTCGTTAGTGACTGGGGATACAAAACAAGTATTTGTGAAGAAGTGTGTGGGTTTGTAAGTAGGTGTGTGTAGGGCCTCAGAGTTCAGATGAAGCTCTGGCTTGTTCCTTTTTTTGAAGCTTCCTGAATAGTGAAGAAATGCCAGTCTTGGGTTGCCAAAAAAATAGGTTTAAAAATTAAATGCCTAATTTAACAAATTATCATGTTGAATATAAAAAAATATTAACTAGGTTAACCAAAATTAAATACTTTAAACTAGATCTTTTACGATCGCTGAGCGATCTGAGCAAAG